ATAGTGGGAGAGAGGGAGAGAGAGCTGTAGGGAGGGGATTGGAGAGACAGGGAGGGAGAGGGGCAGGAGTAACTGAGAGGGAGGGGAAAGGCTGCATTGATGCTGAGCTTGATAGAGCGAGGGAGGGAGCGTGGGCAGAGGCCAAGGGGAGAGGTTGGTGGTGGGCGGCGGGGGTGGGTGCAAGAGGGCAGCTTTCAGCTTTTGGGCGCTGACTTGCTCCCCTCCCCTCCTGCAGACACGCGGCTGGAACTGGAGCCCACCACCTCCGACAGTGCCAACCACACCCTGATGTCCCTGAGCAGCTCGGGCAGGGTGAGGGCGCGGCTGGGAGCCCCCGCCCAGCTGGAGTGCCGGATGGAGGCTGGCGATGCCAACAGCTACGCCGTGCAGTGGGAGACCGCCCGGGGGGGTGTGGTTGTCTCCCGGGTGGACCAGGGTGAGCCAGCGGCCAACTACCTGAACCCCAGCTACAGGCAGCAACTCAGCGTCAGCCTCCTGGACGGGACCACGCGCCTCAGTTTCCACTCTGTGCGCCAGGAGGACTTTGGAGAATATGCCTGCAATGCTTGGCTCTCTGGGCACCCGGAGCACACAGTCACTGCATACACCACACTGGAGGAAGGTGAGGGAGCGGGCGCCGTCAGAGGGTCAGTGCTGAGGGAGCGGGCGCCGTCAGAGAGTCAGTGCTGAGGGAGCGGGCGCCGTCGTAGGGTGAGGGAGCAGGCGCCGACAGAGGATGAGGGAGCGGGCATTGACGGAGGGTCCGTGCCCTGTGTGTGTTGTCTGGGTCACATTGATATCTGTGGGAGCTTTCTGTGAGCAAATTGAGCCAAAATATTATTTCCCCGACAGCAGTGAGTGCACTGATATGTGTAAACACTGCAGTGGCTCAGAGGGGCCTCTCGAGGAGGGCATGGGCTGAGGACCAGAGCTGGTGAAACACACAGTCCCCTTGGCAGGGTCCACTGACCTTTTACAGCTGCTGATGCCCATCCCAACAACCTCAGCTCCATGG